GAGTCTCACTTTGTCACCCTAGGTAGAGTGCTATGGCATCACAGCTCACAGCAACCTCCAGCTCTTGGGCTTAGGCGATTCTCTTGCCTCACCCTCCTGAGTAGCTGGGACTACAGGCACCGCCACAATGCCCGGCTATTTCTTTGTTGCAGTTTGGCCAAGGCCAGGTTTAGAGCCACCACCCTTGGTATATGGGGCCAGCATCCTTCTCACTGAGCCACAGGCACTGCCCACTCACCTATCTCATATTAAGTCCCTTAGGGGTATCTTTATCAGTTTCCATCAAACACCCTAATTTAATCCCTACCTCAGGGCCTTTGCACTTGCTATTCTACCTGTCTGTAATACTCCTGCTCCTCCCATCAGCATCAGTAGATAATGGCAATGACTCACCCCCTCACTTTATTTAGGTCTTCATTTGCCCCTCATCTAGAAGAACATTTCATCACTCCTGCCCTTTACTCAAGTTTTATTTTTATTACTTGTTATACCAGACACACACAGTTGTCTCCATGTAAGTAGAGACGCTAAATTATTCACCCTATATCCTCAGAGTATGGAATAATACCTAGCATTTGTCATGCCTAGACAAGCATTTGTAGATTAACATTTCTTGAATGAATAACGAAATGAATCAAATTTATTATACTGAAAAAGAAAGGGGCAGGAAAGCATTTTTGATTGAGCATCAAGGAATCTGAGGCTTCCTGGGAGGACATCGGGCTTGATACCTGTCCCCCGCCCTCAGGGAAAAGCAGCGTGTCTTCCAGAACCACTTGGAACCCGCTCAGCACTTCTTTCTTGCCGTTGCTCCCTTCCGTCTGCAGCTCCGCGGGACTACAGGAGACTACCGTGGTGGTGAACTGGGCAGAGAGGTACAAAAGGGTAAGCCACAGCCCCAGCCTTCTCCCCACCGGGACTGAATCCTTATCTCGGCATTTCCCTCCCCCCTCGCAGTGCCCTCTCCCCAAACCGCCTCATCCGCGGTGCAGTGTCAGGTCACTCGCCCATCAGGCCGTACCTCGCGGGCGTAGCTGTCGCGCTGACACCGAAACGCCATCACTGCTGGCTGCGGGGCGCGCACAGAAGCCGAAAAGCCTGAGAGCCGACGGAGAGCGACGTGGGACAAACTTCGCTAAGGGCCAAGTCTCCGCGCAGAAGCAAGAGGGTAAAGAATGGGTATGGTTTGGACAAATTTACGGAAAACGCGAATGGCAGAGGTTCTGGATTGCTTAGCGACCTTTTTAAAACTTTAAAAAGGACCGGGGGCCGGGGGTATTGGTGGTGCTCTTAACCCTGTTGGGCATCAGGAGTGAATGTAATTCTGGTCATCGAATCCCAGCTGCGTAGATACGGATGGGACCGGCTTACGTGCACAGCAACACTGCCCAATAGAAATATACTGCAAGCTCTTATGTTAATAACGTATTTTATTCAAATCAGCATGTACAGAATTTTATTTCTCCGTGTAATGGACATTTAAACATTAGTGAGATGTTTTACTTCCTTTCCATACAAATTTTTGGAACCCAGTGTGTATTCTGCGCTTAACTCACATCAGTTTGGACGAACTACATTTCAAGTACTGTGCTTAGTAACCACAGGTGGCTACTGAATTGGACAGTGCAGATAAAGATGTAATAGTAAGTAACAAGCTGCAATCGATGCTTTAAAACGTTAAACAGATTAAAAGTTAAAATTGACTCTTCTGCTTTTTTAGAACTAATAAAAAGTTTGAAGATGGCTGGCGCTCATAGC